CCCACTGTAGACAAAGAACTTATCACCTTGGTGCAATTTCCTTTGAAGAGAGATAACGCGAGTGTTTTCTTTTAAAGTGAAATTATTAAAAGGTCAACAGCAGCAATAAGCTTAGCAGGGGAAGTTCACAGATGATAAGAGCAGTAGGCAGTATATCATAACAGACACATAGTCAAGCCTGTTTATCAATATAAAGGAATAGTTCACTTATTTGATTTTTTGCAGAGAAATGATAAGATTAATATCACTCTCAATCAAGTCTGTCTATTAAATATAAGGCTAAGACAGCAGCTGCTTAGCTTAGCTTAGCATAAAAACTGGAAATAGGGAAACAGCTAGCCAGGCTCCATCCAAAGGTAACAAAATCCACCAACTGAAATGTACAGATTCAATTTAATTTGTTAACTTGATGTGCTGACAGGCAGATTTTGTTCCTTTGGACAGAACTGTTTCCCTGCTTCCAGGCTTTATGCTGCACTAGGCTCTACCTAGGTATCTACCCTACAGACATAAGAGTAGTATTAATCTTCTCAATTAACTCTCAAGAAAAGCGAATAAGCGTATTTCCCAAAATGTTGAACTCCTTTAAACAACCACATTGAATCCAAGTCACGTTTTTATTCACTGAATAGCAGAGTCTGTGGCTTGTGGCTCTGATTCAGGACATGTTTATCATCCCTTAAAGCCAAACATGTTCTTTCTGTTATGGTGTAATACACCCAGAAAATAAGCATGCGGTGCAGGAGTAAGTGTAGGATTGGGCTATGAAAAAAGGTGAGCTGCTCTGAAACAATTTTGGAGCTGAACGCTAAAGAACAAAGGGGCTGGGAGATTGCATCCTGGTGCCACGCCCTCAGGCTGTAGAGTCAGGGCCTTTATGGCACCCTTTGTTAAGCTGCTTGATACACTCTATACCCCAGAATCCCCTTTCATCTTTCATGGCACAGGGAGAGAGAGCTGCTGAAAAGGTTGTGTGTATCCTGAGTACCCAGAATGCATTGAGGCAGTGGTATTGGAGAAAGGAAGAAGATAAGGTTGGCGAATTTTGAGCAAACTGTGGATTATTAACCCAGTGATAAAAAAGGATGGATGCTACAATTACCTATGGTGCATTTACATGAAAATAACTTCTGTATTAATGAGTTCTCTAAATGTGCAGTGTCCTAGCATTTAGAAAGGAATATATGCAATGGTTTTGACACCTGAACCAGAGGGAATAAACAGGAGGAAGCTGAAACCATTTCCTTCATAATCAGCTATACGAGAGGACGGATTAGGATGTTTCCCTTCATAATTTCACACAGGACTAAGGAAAGAAATTGTCAAGCTTGAGTTTGATAGATCAATTTACCAGCTGTTCCAGCAGGCTTTTCCTTTAGCTATAATTCAATCCCTCCCAGTCTAACAGCATAATCTATGACACGCTTGATCTGCTATTCATTTGAAGTGTCATAGCATCCTGCTTTATCTTCTGATGTGGATGAGACCTCCTCAACGCCAGCGCCAGCTCTGCCGGTTGCTAGGAGCTATTTGCTATATGTAATTGTCATGGTTATTATGACCCCGCATTAGCCAACATATGACTTATGAATTCAGCCTCCAAATTAATGCACATGTTACTGTCAGTAGAGGCACTAGAAGCTGAATTATAAATCTAAATTCCTGCAGGATCTCTCTGTATTTCACTATTAAAGTTGTTTTCCTTCTTTCGTTAGGGTATTTGGATATGTGTCTTCTTGTGTGGAAGTCATCTCAGGTCACACATATCTTTTTCTTAGTAGATTAACACATACACACTCAAGTAAAGACAGAGAATTGCACACTGACACCCCCTACACACATTCACTGCTGTAGGCTTTTATCCTCAGGCACCTGGATTGCCAAGAATTACATAGAGAGAAACTTATTCATTTGGGAAACATACACACACTCCTTCAACATACTCATTTGTCCTGAGGCAGAGAATAATACTATTGCTGGATTACTGGGGTGGTGTAGTAGTTTGGGGCCTTGGGGAGCTCCCCGTAGGTGCACCTTTCTCATTTTGACCTCATTTCCCCTTTTGTGAAACTGTGAGGCTGTGGCGATTTATCTGTGTTAGCCACATGGTCCACTGAAATTAGGATATGACTGATGTCATTATCTATGGATTGCAGCAAAGTGAATGCGTCTGAATGTTGGTTTAGGACCACAACAGTGTGTTTGTAAAGAGGTCATGAGTGAGGATGTATGCCATTATATCAAAGCATCCTTTAAAAAAGCTATTAAATGAGTGATGAAAAAAAGAAACCTGTTCAGATGGTTAAAAAGTGGAATTTCCTCTTTGACAGTCTTCTCATCCAATAAGACATGCTGTATTTGTTCAAGCCTTCTGCATACACCAACATGACTCTAAGCACTCGGAAATGAGACGAGGGACAAATGCAAACTTTTCAACCCTCAATACACTTTCATGCTTGACTTGTTTGGTACAAAATGGTGAAACAGCTTCAGTGGAGTGCAGCTGTGACATTTATATTTAACCATTCACTTATCACTGCCAGTTTAGAAATGGCATTTTCACATTCTATTCAAGTGGAACCAATTTAAACACAGTCAGTTTGAATGTGTAGTCTGGAAACTGTAATACTTATAATATTACTTATATATCCATATGTACTAACATTCAAAAAGAAATTCTAAAACTGCTGTAGTGGGACTAAAAATGCTCCTTTATCTTTTAAATTGTGTGATGACATGGTTAGCTGTCTTTACAATAAAGTAGATTCCCCTCCACTACATTTTCCATCACTGTTTGTCGGTACAAGTCTGCAGTCATACTATCCGCTTAAGTCTATACTTAGACACAGCATGCTTTGAGCTAAATGCTAACATCAGTATGCTGATGTGCTCAAAATGACAATGCTAACATGGTGAGAGGCCTGCCCACAGAAATGGCTGGGCCCCTGAAAAGGTCCAATAAATGCCTTCCCCAAATCTGCTTCACTCATATCGACATGCTCTCTGAGAGAGAGAGAGAGAGAGAGAGAGAGAGAGAGGTGGTGGCAGTTCCTTTACTGGCGCTAGCTACCTCTTGGCTAGTAACGTTAGCTGTAACATTAGCCTCCTGGCTACCGTTGGCCTCTTCAGCCTGGCTGGGAGGACATTACATTATTATTTGGGTCTACATTTTTCCATTATGGATGGTTTCCTATAGATCGGTGGCCACCTAAAATTGCACCCAGAAAAGAAGCTTGGTAGGGCACCGAATGAGCTAGGTCTGGCCCTCCCCATCTTATATTTAACTGTGGGCACCAGCATAAGTGTGAAGGCCTCTGAGGCCTCACAGGTTGCAGCAATTAAACATTCCTTCATATCCCCAAATTTATACATTTAAATTGTCACTCAAAACAACAAATGTGGTGGTACGGAAGGAAAAGTCTGGGATCACAAAAGTCATTAGGATACACAATGTGGGAACTATGAATGTCAAATGTCAAATTTGTGCCAATCCATTCAGTAGATGATGTGATATTTTACTACATGAAAGCTTTGACCTGCTGGTGGTACTAGAAGAAAATTAAGGGGCTCACCAAAGTCAGTATTAATTTCATGGCAATCCAACAAATAGGACCAACCGACTGATATTACCATGCCTAGAGTCTCTGGTGTGCCTGCAATATTTCCATTTTCATAAACATAGTTATTGGATGTTTTCTTTTTCAATATTCCCAGTAATTGGGGCATTGTTTTCCTCCACACGGCACACCAAATCAGCCATAAAAAGAAGAGATAAATTCAGCAGTTGGGTTTCAGGCTTTGAAGCTGAACACTGGGTGACAACCAGTCCCGACATCGCCCCCTCATTTGGTGCAGAACTCATTTCTGGTTCTGCATTTTAGCACCACATAATTGCCGAGAAAACAATGAATACAATGCCCTGAGACGTCAGCGCCACAGATAATTACACCAAAAAATGTTTTTTAATTAAACTTAATTGAAAAGAAATGCAATCTGATTGATATGCTCTCTGTTTTTGTTTACCAAATTTGCTGTTGGTCATGAAGCATCACTTCATTTTGCAAGCCAATTTGCATAAAAAAGATGATTCATCCATGGCATTACTATCTACAATTTGCCAGCAGCTGAAATTCAATAAATCTGAGTTAGTCTGGGACTTTTTGGCAATTAAATATAAATACCTGTACATTTTCATTCATTGCATAAAAAAATACAGCCTCATCTCATAAAAATGTTTTTTGCTGCACGTATGCAATGGGAGGAGGTTTGTTGTTGCACTGCCCTATATGTTCCCGGCTGGGGCACTCAGGCTCTTACAAAACATGTTTCCATGTTGTTGTCGGCCCTTGGAAGACTGTGTCATCCGGGCACTGAACCTTATCCATTTACATTATCTCTGACTGACGTGCAAGGGCCCTACATGCCTTCCCAGCACACACCTCCTCTAACCTGACCCAAAGTTCAAAGTACTTTTTACAAACATCTGCAAAAAAAATCGTGTCACTTGCCTCCACCTCATTTCCCAAAAAGCTGCAGATATAAAGGTGTATGTGCAGGAGATTTGGAACTAGTTTGTGGAGGTGCACCCCGTTGGAATAGTTGGAAGCTGAGGAGGGACACTTAAGTTCTGCTTTTTAATCTGGTAAACACATACTCCTTTCTCTACAATAATTAGTCCATCATGGTTCTCTTGCAGCTGTGGATTTCAGCACTAAGTTCATCATGACTTATTGGGGCTACTTTTATTTAATTTTGTACCACTACATCCCTATGTTTAATGCAGTCTATCCCATTATAGCTCTCCAAATGCTCCCTTTTATAGTAAGAGCTGCTATGTGTTGCTACCATTTAAAGTAGTTCTCTGTTTCCACTTTCACTTCAGGGCTCTCCAGCCTCCTGGTTTTTGCGCGTCTGTTCCGGACGAGGGGGCGGTGGGGTGGCGACACGTCATATCAGCCGCCGCACTCTGATTGGCTGCCGATTCTCACCCGACACAGCTGTGATTGTTTTCTGCAGAGGAAGCTCTTGCCCCTGGTATGAGCTCTGTGCTGTGGAATGGAGCAGCACTGTGTGTTTTTTTGCCTCCTCTCTGTGTGTGTCTGCTAACGATGATGTGAACAAACAACGCGATTGCAGTCCTTGTTGTAAACGAGCAGGGGAAAACAAAAAACAAGGAGGCGCGAATGAACAGGAGTGGAGGTTTCTCTTTCAACCAGACACTGGAGACGTCTGGATACCAAGGTAAGGACCGGATCTCACTATAGTTACAACTTATTCAGTTGTAGCAGAATCCGGAAAAAGCATTACTTTAGTGCTCTTTAATCTTTGCCACAATGTATCTCTGCACTTGTGAGCTGAATATCTGTTTTCTGGTGTGTCCAGTTTTATCACAACCCTCTGTCCCCCTCTCCTCCAGCCCTAAAGTGCCAAATGCCCAGACTAGAGGACCACTGCTGGAGCTGCTCCTGTGCATCAAGGGTCGAAAGTAAACACTCATCTGGAGCAAACTGGTTAGCATCCAAAGCTGAAGAAATGATGTCCATCATCACCTCGGTGCTCAGCAATGCCTACGGCTCTCTGCACGACGTCCGGACGGCCAACCTGATCCGGCGGGGTCTCGTCCTCTTCACCGTCGGAGCGTTCCTCGCCCTGGTGCTCAACTTGCTGCAGATACAAAGAAATGTCACCCTGTTCCCCGAGGAGGTGATGACAACTTTGTTTTCGTCCGCCTGGTGGATCCCACCTTGCTGCGGCACAGGAGCCGGTGAGTGGACGAACACCCCTGGTTCCCAATAACAGTGTTAGTTAGTGCGTTATAAATAGTTAGTGGAGGAGAGTTTGATCTCGGTTAACTGTAGTTTGCTGCTAAGTTTGGGACAAAGGAATGCAGAGAGGGGAGGGGTTGCAGTGCTGTAGCTATTCCCATATAAAGACAAGATGATAAAGCCATTAAATGTCATTTTACCAATCATGTATGGGCGCTAAGAGTCTGAGAATCATCCATGTGAGCTTAATGCACATCACAGGCCATAGTGAGCAGTAAAATAGTGTCATTCTAAACCATTTATGGCACAAAAGCAATATTTTTTCTATTATTGCCACTGGTATTAGCTACTGTATGATCAGGTGGTAATGAATCATCATTCGGCTTTGTTTTTGTCAGCTATTACACAATCATTTCTCTCTCAGGCTATACTAGTCTGCATGGTTTTGTCTGGCAGTCAGTTACAGAAAAAAAAAACCCCGACTTGGTACAGATGGTAGCAATTCTCGACCTCTGATTGGCCGCAACAGCCAGACACGAGGTGAGCTGCGCGCTCATTGGCTCGTGTCATAACGGGTGAGCTGAGTGGGAGGTACCTTTAAGGCCAGGAACCAGGAAGTGGGAGAAAAGGGGAGAAAATCATAAGAGCATACATTGTCGGCTCCTCCTCCCATGTGCTGCGGGCCAGCAAACACATGAAAGTAGAGGTGTAGCTGCATGTCTGTTGACATTAGTCTGTGCCTTATTAATGACTCTCTGTGGCGTGCAGGAGCTTGTTTAAGGTCTTCATTGTTTAAACGAGGTGCTTGCAGTGCTCAGTCCTTAGTTTACATTCATCTTGTTGTAACTTTTGGTATGTTATTACTTTATGTAGTCTCAAATATTGCTGCACCCAACAGTTACTTCCTTTTCCATGAATATATCAATTATTTTTTTCAATTAATTTATTATCTAGTTCATAAAATGTTAGAAAATTGTCTATTATTAGTCCCCACAGCCCAAGGGGATGTCTACAAATTGCTTGTTTTGTCAGATACACAGTCAATAACCACAGGTGTTCATTTAGTAATGATTCAAATAATGATATAAAACAAAGAAGAGCAGCAAATTCTCACATTTTTGTGCTTGATAAATAATTTAACAACTAGTTGATGAATTGTTTATTAACCTGAAATTATTAGCAATTAATTCAGTTGCTCGATTGACAAAAAAATAAAAGAATAAATGTGAAACAATATTTAATTCCAGCTTCTAAATTATGATGATTTCCTGCTTGTCTTTGTCTTATATGATGGTAAACTGAAAAACTGAATGTTTTCTGAACGCTTTTGGAGTGATGCTCGCACAAAACAACAATTTGAAGACATTGCCTTGGGCTTTTTTCACTGTATTGACAAAAGACTCAGTACAAAACCAGGAATTACATCAAAAGAGCAGCCAAAAAAAGAACATAAAAGAAAAAGTTTAAGAGATTAAATTATAAAAAACAAAAAAAGATATTATTTATATTTTAAGGGGTTTTAAGTGTACGCAGGTGTCTAAGAGTCACCAATTATGGAAGCGTATGTTAAGCAAATAGAAAACCCCACAAAGCAGCTCCATGACAGGATTTGGCTGCGGGCGTTTCACAGAATTTCTGCTTATCTTGTGTAATTCGGGTCTGTTTGTTCCTTTTTCACAGCTGTTGTCGGCCTGCTCTATCCCTGCCTCGACAGCCACTTGGGAGAGCCGCACAAGTTCAAGAGGGAGTGGGCCAGCGTCATGAGGTGCATCGCAGTGTTCGTTGGAATCAACCACGCCAGTGTTGTATCCTTTCACAAAGGACTCACCTTGTAGATGGATAAACATGGATGTTTTCAGTGTTGTCTTTAATTTAGACTAGTTTGTCAATATATAATATGAGGAAAACACACACATGGTATCTACAGCAAAGATTTGATGGAGCTTGATGTTTGCAGGTCACACAAATATTTGAGTAAGAACAAATCCCATGCTAGCGTCACACTCTTTAGACTTTGTCCTTAACTGCCCATAACACAGAAACTAGACTTCGACAACAACGTGCAGCTCTCCCTAACACTGGCAGCCTTGTCCTTGGGCCTGTGGTGGACATTCGACCGATCCAGAAGTGGCTTTGGTTTGGGCATCACCACTGCCTTCCTAGCTACTGTGTTCACGCAGCTGCTGGTCTATAATGGAGTCTACCAGTAAGTTACCAGTAGCTTTAAGTATATGTAATAACACTATGTTCTCTGTTTATGTATAAGTGTTTTTAATCACTGGTGCTTTGTCATCACTGATTACTGGTTTCATATCACACCCACAATAAAAACTGTGTAGCATGGCTTACCTGTTAATTATATAGCTGTGACAGTAAACCCCACCCTGGCGTGAATGAAGTAGTACCTGGAAGTACTCCCACCTGTATGATTCCATCAAAAAAGGATGTAACAGATAAGGCTTGAGGTACAGTGTTATATTTTTGGAAGTCCCCTTGTCTCTGGGAGCCCAATTAACAGGCCCCCCTACTGGCTTCAGTGGCATATCATCAAAAATGCACAGCTGAGAAAGGGGACTGTTCCTCACAGTAAGAGGTTCAAAAGGCAGCTGCAGCTCGTGCTGACTTTGCAAGGTAGAAACACAAGGAGGAATGATTGGAGATAATTATATTTTCAAGCATGACAGGTTTGTGTGTGTGTTTGTGTATGTCACAGATCTGTCTCCGGCATTGTCTTTAAGTGTCGATGTGTTCTGTGGCATTGCATTGTGCGACGTCTTTGGAGGGGAATTGTGTTGTTTGTTTTTTTGACACACTCCAAAGAGGTCCAAGGTCAGGATCAGCATCACTAAACCTGCTCAACATAATGAAGAATAATTTAAATAAGGTGATTTCTCTCTTTCAGGTATACGTCTCCAGACTTCTTATATGTACGCTCCTGGCTTCCGTGCATATTCTTCTCAGGCGGTGTTACTGTGGGAAACATCGGACGGCAACTTGCTATGGTAAAGTCTGCATCCATTTAACCCTATAACTTAATTGTCTATGATATCTATGTATATATATATAAACGTAACTACCTATCATATGTAATATACGTACGCCGTATTATAGTATATATATAATACTACATAATATTAAAATATGACTGATATCATATATATATACTATATTACCTAATATATAATATATACCCTAATATATACACAATATCATATCTACTATATAGTATACTACCTACATAATCATATATACTATATATAAATTATATATACTATATATATTTACTTAATACATAATAATACATAATAAATATATATATATATATACATAGAGTAAGTCAACATCTAACATTTAATCAGTGTTAATATGGTGAGGATGCAAGTTCACTAAACAGCATATGGTGGCAGTCTGTAACCTTGAAATAAAACTCACTCTGCTTTAAAGGAATAATTTACTTAAAGATTAACATTTTGTCAATCTATAGTAGAAAATAAATAAATAAGTTGGTCCAATGTGTCCGTATCTTGGACACAACTCTTTAATAAACAAATTGAGGAGTTCCTTGTGTGTGTTTTACCGTTGGTTAATGAATCCAAACAACTCAACGCAGCATATTGAGACGTGTTTTAAAGACAAGAATCGGGCTTAAGGTCTCAAAGTTAGTTTAATTTCCTCCATTAAAAGGATCACTGATTGCCATCTTGGGTTCCTGCTGCTTTAATGTGTTGCAACAACTGTTCAGAAGTTTGAAAGTAATGGATACAGCTTGTCATATATTAAACAAGATGTCTTATTGGACTAAATGGATCTTGTGAAAACATTTTAGGGACCTAGTGGCACAAAATAGAACATTTGCATTCATGATGTGTTTCATTAAATTTAATACTTGAAGTTCTGTAGGTGTAACATCTACAAGTTAAACTGTGAACTATTCCTTTAAAGAGCCACCAAACTCTGTAATAACACCCTTATAAATTATGTGTGATGTTTTTTTAACAGTTTTGGTCATATTGGCACAAAATATCCCAACACATTTATCAGTATGAGCCTTCAAGCATCTGTATCTGTCTAAATAGTGGAACAGAAAATTATTCGAAAGACTCCTCAGCCCCACACATGCTTTATTTGCAATTATTCGGATGAACCACAGCAGCCGATAACATTGTCAAATGGTTTTAAAGTTGCACAAAGTGCGCTGGACGCCCTCCTTCCTTCATAATTATCCCATCAAGTCAGCTTTGATGTCTTCATTAAGCTTGTGCCCAGAAGCCTCACCTCATTCTGTCTGTAAAGTAAAAGTCCCGTCACTCCCTCAGTTTGACTCAGTGAAAGCGTGAAAGCAGATTAAGGGCTGTTGTTTTTCACAGTCGTGGCGAGACACAGAGCCAGTCAGGACTCGGCTGACCAGAGGGTCATTTGCTACTTGTTGTTTTTGTTTGTGATGAGGCCTGAGGAATGTTGGCACAAGTCTACACTCGTGGTTTTGTTCTCTGTTTTTCCCTCTTTCGCTTCACTGGGTCATTTATGAGAAGGATCAGGAGGAACATGAGCTCAAAATTGTTTTTCGGTGGCTTTTTTGTTCCTTTTTTAAGGATTAATGACAGTTACAGTGAAACAATCTGTTTGGCAGCATTAACCATGCAGAATAAAAGCTCTTGTACTTATTAGATCTGCTTTAAAGCTGAATGGCTAATCGTTTTACCAGCTTATTTGAAGTTGCAGTCAGATGTGTAGTAGACATGTGTAGACTGCATAGTTCAGTACACAAACTGTTGAGACCTTTATGTCTGAATATATTTAAAATGTTTTGTGGTGGGTAAAATGAGCAATGAAAGCAGCATGCAGTTTTCTCATGCTGAGCAAACAGTACTTTCTTCCTTCCTTGTACAAAATGTTCAGTTTCCATTTGGAAAAAAGGGAACTGAAAGAGAAATGTTCCTGTCTTCAAACATAATCTTGACTCTTAAAGAAGTTCTGATTTGTTCAGCAACAGGTCGACATGTACTGTAAAATATGGAAATTGTCCACAGGGTTTGGTTCCAGCTGCAGTTTTGAGTTTTGGGTTTACTGGAAACTGTGTTCATGTGTGACTCATGTCTTGAAAATGAGTCACCCGAGGCTGTTAATCCGAACATAACAATAGTTCGAGTGATTCAATGAGTAACATTTCTCTAAATGACTTCTGTCACTATTTGGATCATAAAAATCTCCTTCAGCGTAATGTATAACTTCAGCCACTACCAGGATACAAGAAAGAAGCTAAAGTAGAAGCAATTTATTTCTGCTTTAAGCAACTGTGAGACTTTGAAACTACAGATATTCTGTTTTTCTGTTGAGACCTTTTATGTTTCTAATTGCTGCATTACACTGACTGATTCATGTTCCTCCTCTGTCTCCCCCCTTAGGGTGGCGTTGAGAAACCCCACATGGACTGAACATCGGAAACGCAGAAAACCAGGCGAAGGACAGCCGGCGTAAAAAATGGAAGTTATGTGAAGAACGAGAAGAATAACAGGAGAAAAAAGACTCGTTGTGTTGACTTCATCCTTTGTTCTCATAACAAAGTGCGGGTCAGAAAAGCCCCTCATCTAACGTGCCATGTCCTCTGCACCTCCTTGTGGCCAAGCAACCTCTCCCTCCCACCTCTGTTGTACTCCATTAGCATTAAGGCTTCCTTCACACTAGACGGGAGGACGGTGTTTGCCTTTTTTTGTTGCTGTTTTGAAGTGAACTGTTGACTGGTTTTTATTTTCACGCTGGAAGTACGTATCTTTCGGCGGTTTGTGGAGAGGAAGCGTGCGCGTGTGTGCTTTAGTGCGGTCGTATCCTAGCAGAGAAGACATAAGGGGGTGCTATAATGTCTGTTTTCTTTTCTTTTTTTTAGCCGGAATTTAATATGATCATAAAAAGGGAAATGTTGTATGAGTGGGCAAAAAAAAAAAAAAAAATGTCCTCACTCTCACATAAAAATGTATTCAGCGGCCTCGGTTGCATCACTGAGGCACAGGGGAGATGTATGTTCCCACTTAAACCAAATTAAGTATTTATTTAGTAACTTTTGAATGACCCCAAACCAAATGTACTGTATGGTTGATAATGAATGACACTTGCCATTTTGAAAGGAATAGTTTGAAAATTTGGGGAGATTCTTCTTCTTCGCAGTGAATAAGAAGAGAATATTAATACCACTCTTTAGCCAGCAGACGGTTAGCTTAGCACAAAGGACTGGAAACTGCAGGGCCTGGCTCTGCTGAGTTTCTCAAAATCCACCTACCAGCATTTCTTAAGATCACTTAATTAACATTTTTATATCATGTTTGTTTAATTGAAACCTAAAAAGCCGAACTATCTGTTGCTGTCGCTAGCTACACATTTCCGTTACAGACGCGAGTGGTATTGATCTTCTGATTTAAGTTAACTATTCCTTTAAAGTGACTGTGAAACATATTCTAGGAGAGGAAAGTAGATGGAATGAAGAGAGACAGAAAGTATGTACAGCAGTGCTAACTATCAGTTAGTACTGGCTGATATTCACTTGTGGCTGATATACTTATATCTCATGTGTTATGAAATTTAGCACAGAAGATGCAAACTATTTAGGTCACTCAATGAAAATTAGTGGTATATACCTGTGGATGGTATCACATTCACAGCTGCCTGTCAGCACAAGATCACATTTTACTTGTTGGAAAACTCCTCAGAGACCTTCAGTGTGCTCTTTTGTCTGTTTCGGATAAGTTTAAGACAGACAGGCATAGATTGTTTAGTATGAGGGAGGGAGAAATAACACATCAAAGCATTAGTCTGGGAGAGAAATGCCGGCATGTGCACATTTAGTTTTTTTATCAGCAGAGTGAGGAAAGTCACCACGGTGGATTGTGTGTTGAAAGAATGTACCAGGACAACTGCTTTTGCCAGCATTTGCGGTTACTGTTGAACCAGTTTATATCCCTTTCAAATGGTTCCTTTTCCCTTTGTGACCAGGTGTTAAATGTCTTGTAGAACGGGCCTGTGATTCCCGGTTGAGACAAACATTTTACTGCGTGACTGTACACATTTCCCACTTCAAATTGTACCTTCAAACGAAGCCCTGAAAGTTTGGGAACATACGCAAGTTGAAGGAGAGGGCAGGACATTATTACTTAAGATTTGCAATCTGTGATTGCCTGTGTATTATAGAATGTAGTGCTTTTGTCACTATAACAGTTTAGTTTTATCATTTGTACAAACATAATGACATTATTGCTTGTATGTATAATGGCTTGCCTATGTAATCAGACAGGTATTATTACCATTCTAGACCTACAGTATGTTAGATAGCGTTTGGGGGTCTAGAGAATTAAGTGCAATCAAGAGTACATGAGCCGATTATTCTTCCTTATTTATTATTATTTCTGACAATGGCTAAAAAAAATAACTGGTTGTAAGTATATGCAGTGTGGATACTTCAAAAAAAGCAATAACATCTTTGTTTTTTGTGAACAAGACTGTCAGAGATTACATGCCTTTTTTTTAGAGTCAATACCAATGACCTTCACCAGAGAGACAACATAAAAAAAATATATTGTGTCAAACTGTTGTAAAAAATCTCATTTAGTAGCATTATCGAAGGAAACCTGATTTATTTTTTTAAATACTTTTTTGTGGCAGATCACTTCAGGTCGAATCTGCTTACATTCAGGTGTGCTCAACTGAAGAGGAAGCTTTATTTTTTTGAGGTGGTGAAGCACCTTTTGTTTCGATGTGTCAGAGTTTCTGTGTGTGTGTCTGATAGTTCAGCTGTGTACCATTTTTGCTACCATGGATTGAGTGAAAAATAAAAACACCTGACAAGGATATATCTGCGTGTAATCATTATGACTTATAACATGGGACAAGTTTATTACAGGAGATGAATATGTGGATGGTACTGACATATAGTTTCAGTCCTTATAACCAGAAAGCAAAGCAGGAACCAAACACTCTCTAGCTTCCCTTCCAGTGACACGAACCTAATACCAACATACATAATGCAACTGAGCTTCAGCCGTTCATTCTGCCTTTGATTACCACTAGCCTAATTATAGCCCTCTGATTTTTTTTGTTTTTGTTTTTTGGGTGTCAAATGTAGCCGCAGCTCAATTGTAGTGGAGCTTTCTGGGGTGCTGACGATTGGATTTTGTTGTGTCTGCTGTCACAGCCAAGTTGAATAGATGAGGACACTCTTTTGTCCGGGCTCTCTGTCAGTCTCTGGAGCCATTATAATGTCTTCGGCTGCATCTTCCCCTCTCTCCTCTTCTCTGTATTACCCCTCCTCCCCCGTCTTCCAAAAAACCCCTGAAACTACCCCCCACCTCCTGTGTGTCACTGGGATCATGAGGAACTGCCCCCCCTCCTCTCTTTCCCCTGTCTACCCCCTCTCTCTGAACACGCCTTTCTGGAGGGCAGACTTCTATTTATACCTAGCGGGGGACTGACAGTTAACCTTTTGCACTGGGGGAAATTTCTGGGAGTGGGGCCAATATCTGTGGGCTATTCTGAATGAACCCCTCGTTCTGGGAGGCTCTCTATACATCCATGTATCTGTTTTCTATCTATCTGTTCTCTTTCCATCTATCTATCTATCTATCTATCTACTATCTATCTATCTATCTCTTTCTGACAGTCCAACGATCCAGCGCCACACGCCACTTCTTCTCCTCTCTCCCTCCTCTTTCAGTCTCCTCCTCTTCTCAGGCAAAATAATTGGCCAGGCTTCAACCTCCTTTCATTTCCAGCCACAGCAAACTGAAAGACTCCATTAGAGCGCCTCCTTATTGCCAAAAGAACCCCCTCTCTCTCTTCCTCTCTCTGTATTCCCTTCAAGGCAAGAAGACAGGCCTGGGCCCATCTGATCTATTGATTTGAGCCATCTATAGCCACTTCAATTTCATCTCCTTGCAGCACCTTTGTGTTTTGATTATTGAGCCTCTAATTTGACACAGCGAGTCAACTGCCAGTAAACATGAAGACAATGATGTTAACATTTAACTCTTAAAAATGATAACTATACAGTACATAACCTCTGTAAAACTCACCTAAAGATAAGAAGCAGAGGCCCACCAGTGGGTCAGCCAGTACAAAGTCGTGCTGTGCAGCCAAATATTCTTGAAATCCACACAATTCCACTACAAATACCAAATATGTCAGGATATATTTGGGGAAAATGTGTATAAAATGTTGTACCAGACATCCAGAACATCTCCATTTGAAGGAATGGTGCAGCCATAAAAACCATGAAGTATTGAGTTTGAAAGTCATATAGTTTTAATGAAGGGATGGACAAGGCTGATACAGAATGCTTTGTATGTGCTACTTCAATACTAAAATATATATATTTTATTACAATAAATGGACAATGTTTTTTTTTGATGAATTCAGCTACAACTAGCAACTTCTAGTAACACCACACGTACATATACACTTATTGATTTGCCTGGTTAAGAAGTAAACTGTTCTCCCATGAGAAAATCTGTTCATGCTGAATACAATGGGAAAATAATGTAATTTAAGTTATGTCATTTTCTGTATGGCCTAATTGATATTTACACTTCAGTAAAAAACAGTATTCCTGTACAGCCATATAAAATCTTTATCTTAGGTAAGAATAAATTAATCAGCAAATACATTTCTTTAGATTTCATAGAAAGAAAGAAAAAAATATAACACAAAAAAGATCTACACATTCAATGAACTGTCAAATAAAAGCTAAATCACCTTAACTATCCCATATTAATAATAGGCCTATAAGAAAAGCCAGACCTCAAAATTCCCACCATTAACACCTTTAAGCCTACATAGATTCATATGAGCCAATGTCTGTTATCCACTTTAAATTACTTTTTCAAACTTCTGGATAGTAATTTCCTCTCAGCCTAGGGCCCCTTAGCAGATTCTGACTCTGTATATGCAGGTGTCCTAACTCTCTCTGACCACAAGACTCTGTTGTAAAATTCTCCTGTCACCTAACACACATTTAAAAGTCTCTCTGGTGTGTTTACATGGACATCTCGACAAGTGTTAGGTCCTGCTGGACTGAGTAAAATCTACTACAACTTGTTAAGTTAAATATGTGCATCAAGGTGGCACAAAGACGTGTTGAAGTGCAGAGGAATGGGAAGATAATAAGAGGCACATATTCTGTTGAAGTAAATCATGCAGTATAACATGAGATTACAGTGCTGTCTACTCAATAGTGATTGCTTTTGTTACCACCAGATGACAGTATTTATCCTCTCAGCTTGTCTGGACATTATCACCATGACATCTGTGGACCCCTAGTGGAGGGACAAGGAACAGCACAGTGTTGCATGGCTTGATATTACAATGCAAAAGCTTTAATTTATTAATCCAGCTATTGTTATTAAGACTAAATTTAGATAACATGAACCACCTGAGCCTTTAGAAAAAACATAGGGAAGGTTTATTTATTGATCCAAGATAACAAGCTCTGTATGTTTCAAAAATGCATGTTCGAGTCTACAAATATTGCATTGAAAAAAAGGGGAGAAAACTTCTAAATCATATCAGAAAATGCTTTTTAAAAGTAAAGATTTTCCTGAAAGCCTCTGAAAATGCACTGATGAACATAAAAATTCAGATTCAAAAAGATAATTTATTAAACAGTGGCGAGGATATTATTCTTGGAATATTTATCTCACACTGCAGTGAGCGGGTAGAGTCACATGCATGATAGAAAAGGTCAATGAAATGGATTGAGTGTGGAGAAAATCATTGCACACTCTTATTTCTCTGCCAAAAGGTCTTCAGTGGCATTAATGTCCTGCTCTCTGTGCTATATAATGAAAGATTGTGTGAGTGTGTGTGTGTGGGGGGGGGGGGGTCGTTTAGGTCTACTGAGTCTTCATTACACCAGAGCTGGGTCCTCTCCTGTCCTCTGCCCCCGCTCATTGCCTCTCCCAGTGCCGGCCAGGAATAATGAATTACAGTGGATGCCATGGGGGGCTGAGTGAGTGGCTCAGAAGTGGACTCCATTTTAGCTCAAATTACCTCTCAGATCTCATTCAAATGGCAGTCTCAGGCTGCTCTCTGTCTTCTCTGTGTATCCCTGTCTGGGGTGAAATTATCCATTCACACCTTTTCTTCATTTACTTCATTAAGTACCTGTGATTCCATCTTTTTTTTGTGGTCACTCCTCCAGTGGTTCAATCAAGCAAAACATCTACATAAAAAGACAGGGGATATACTACAGATACAAGAATCATCTTTAAACAGTGTAAACAACAGTTCAAGTCTCAGTGGGATTTATCAGTTCAGTCAGCATGCTCAGCCTTGTGTGTCCTTCCTGTTGATTCCTCCTCTTCCTCCGCAGGACAATAATAAAAATGACAGAATAAACCTCAGGTGATGGCACATTATGCATGCAATCCAAACAAATCCTTCCCAGTGTAAATTAAACACACCCAGTGCATCTTACAGCCCAGATCAGACTCTGTAAATCGAGCAGGGTAATAAGAATAACTGAATAAAAGGTAATGGAAAAAAATCAAGGTGAGTATTTCCATTGCATGATCCATCCTGAGAGGCAGACAAACAAAAAAACTCTGCATTTTGTGGAAACTCACTGATAGTAAACCACACAAACGTCAATCATGCTCATTCCTTAGTTTTCTATAAATAATAAAAAATAATAAAATATGAGGGGATGTTCTGGCAATCGGCTTTACTCACTGATTTTAAGATTAGCTGTATTTGTAAGTCTGTGTATGGGCTTTAATTGTGCAAATCAACACATATTTATCGAAATATCAAATATAAATATGTTCAGACTGTGTATCAAAAGCCCAGACACGTGTTTTGTGGCAGAAAACACACATCTACACTAAACTTAAAACACACTGATCTGTTCATGGACACAGAGACATCCATGAGATATGGCCTAATGTCACCTACTTGAATATTGTCAAAGAGTGCTTCATTTGCATAATCCAAATCATGCTTGCAGCCCTGTTTAGGATGCACTAAAGGTCGATGTTTGTCATGTTTTAATTAGTCTTCATTAGTAGGCGTAAGAGGCATTTCTGGGAAGCAACAGGCATGCAGCCTATTCATCTCGCTGCTGAGAGATGCACAAAGTTGGCAGGCTAAATCCATCTGGGAAAGTTATTGCGCCTAAAATGGCCTTTGACAGCGCGCCCCCTGATAAGTGACAAATTCACAACATACCCGCGACTGGGGGGTAAAAACAACTCAGGTGCACAAGGGGGTGAAAGGACTCCGTCGCACATGGTGCTTTCAGGGGAGTCCAGCACTATTTTGGCGAGTTTAAACGGCGCAGGGCGCGATGCCACACAGGGAGAGGGGTCGAGTAACCGCTTATGACTGACCTCCTTCCACTATAATTAAAGTTGCAAGCTGGACCCACAGACATAACAGACATTGTTGCTCCCATTTAGAATGAAACAGAAATAAACGGGAGAATACATTTTAGATAAAAAAACTAAAACCACTGATATAAGCTCCAAGTTGTAGGAACTGCTTAAACTGAAAATGAATAAAAATGGAAAATGCGTTTAGCCCTACAGTCTTGTTTAACATGCATCTTTTGGGGGAAATGCACCTTACAGAGAGGTAGTGATTGCTCAGCTCTTCCGCCTTTGATTTGCAGGATATTTTCATGGGAAGATCTTTAAAAGAAATACAACTAAAAGCAGAAAATATTTGATTTTTTGGGGGGACTGTTGGTCAGACATTTCACCTCCCTGCCTGCGAGCTTAAACCTGCTCTCAGCGTACAAATATGAGTTTATTCTGCAGCAAGTGCTTTCCACCTGTCTCTCTCCCCACTTGTTCCTCCCTCC